GGGGGGGGGGGGGGGGGGGGGGGGGGGGGGGCATGGGAGTTTGCCCAACCAGTCTACATGTGCTTTGTGGATTTGGAGAAGGCATTCGACCCGCTCCCTCTGGGAACCCTGTGGGGCGTACTCTTGGAGTATGGGGTACCAGGCCCTTTGATACGGGCTGTTAGGTCCCTGTATGACCGGTGTCAGAGCTTGGTCCGCATTGCCGGCAGTGAGTCGGGCTCATTCCCGGTAAGAGTTGGACTCTGCCAAGGTTGCCCTTTGTCACCGATTCTGTTCATAACTTTTATGGACAGAATTTCTAGGCGCAGCCAGGGTGTTGAGGGGATCCGTTTTGGTGACCTTAGGATCGCATTTCTGCTTTTTGTTGATGATGTGGTCCTATTGGCTTCATCAGGTCGTGATCTACAACTTTCACTGGAGCGGTTCGCAGCTGAGTGTGACGCAGCCGGGATGAGGATGAGTTCCTCCAAATCCTAGGCCATGGTCTTGAGCCGGAAAAGTGCCCTTTCCGGGTCGGGGAGGAGGTCCTGCCCTAAGTGGAGGAGTTTAAGTATCTGGGGGTCTTGTTCACAAATGAGGGAAAAATAGAGCTAGAGATCGATAAGCGAATAGGTGCGGCGTCTGCAGTGAAGCGAGCGCTGTACCGGTCTGTCGTTGTGAAGAGAGAGCTGAGTCAGAAGGCAAAGCTCTCAATTTACCAGTTGATCTAAGTTCCTAAACTCATTTATGATCATGAGCTTTGGGTGGTGACCGAAAGAACAAGAACTTGGATACAAGCGGCCGAAATTAGTTTTCTCCACAGGGTGTCTGGGCTCTCCCTTAGAGATAGGGTGAGAAGCTCGGTCATCCAGGAGGGATTCAGAGTAGAGCTTTTGCTTCTCCACGTCGAGAGGAGCCAGTTGAGGTGGCTTGGGCATCTGGTTAGGATGCCTCCTGGACGCCTCTCTGGTGAGGTGTTCCAGACATGTCCCACCAGGAGGAGACCCAGAGGAAGACCCAGGACACGCTGGAAGGACTATGTTTCTTGGTTGGCCTGGGAACGCCTCGGGATTCCCCCAGAGGAGCTGGCCCAAGTAAATGGACTGTACTTGTATAGCGCCTTTCTATCTTATGAAGACACTCAAAGCGCTTTACACTACAATCTGTGTCCTCATTTACCCATTCATACAGCACTCTATTAGAGCCCTATTAGATCTCTACAAAGCTAATTGAACAAATCATTCTAAAGAGACTAATCAGTGCTTTAGATCACATTCATACACCGGTGGGACACACATCGGAGGCAACGATGGGTTCAATGTCTTGCCCAGAGACACTTCAGCATGTGACTGCTGGTGGATTTGAACCCCAACTCTTGCATTGGAGGACGACTGCTCTAACCACTCAGCCACAGCCACCCTCTCCCCAAGTAGCTGGGGAGAGGGAAGTCTGGGCCTCCCTACTTATACCCCTGCGACCCGACCTGGATAAGCAGAAGAAAATGGATGGCTGGATGGATGGATATTCAGTGAAGGTAGGTTCTGTTGACCTCAACCAGTGATGCCATAGAGAGGTAGAAGGAATACTTATCGGACCTTCTCAATCCCACCGGCACATCTTCCATGGAAGAAGCTGAGTCAGAGGACTTTAGGGCTGGTGTGTCCATAACCGTGGCTGAGGTTGCTGAGGCAGTTAAAAAGCTCCACGGCGGCAGGGCTCCGAGGGTGGATGAGATTTGCCCTAATTACCTTAAAGCTCTTGATGTTGTGGGGTTGTCTTGGTTGACACGCCTTTGTAACGTTGTGTGGACATTGGGGGCAGTGCCACTGGATTGGCAGACTAGGGTGATGGTTCCCCTCTTCAAAAAGGGGGACTGGAGGGTGTGCTCCAATTATAGGGACATCACTCTCCTTAGCCTCCCTGGTAAGGTTTATTCAGAGGTACTGGAGAAGTGAGTCCGGTCGTTGGTCGAACCTCAGATCTAGGAGGAACAATGTAGGTTCCTTCTTGGTCGTGGAACACTGGACCAGCTCTTTACCTTTACTAGGATCCTCGAGGGGTCATGGGAGTTTGTCCATCCTGTTTGCATGTGTTTTGTGGAATTGGAGAAGGCTTTCGACCTGTTCCTTGAGGTACACTGTGGTAGGTGCTCCGTGAGTATGGGATTGAGGGCCCGTTGTTACGGGCTGTTCGGTCCCTATACAAGCGGTGCAAGAGTTTGGTTCGCATTGCCGGCAGTAAGTTGGACCCCTTCAGGGTGTTAGTTGGACTTTGCCAGGGCTGCCCGTTGTCACTGATTCTGTTCATAACTTTTATACAGAATTTTTTAGAATCTTTTAGACAGAATTTCTCGGTGCAGCCAGGGGGGCGGAGGGATTCCAGTTCAATGGCCTCAGGATTCCATCTCTGCTCTTTGCAGATGATGTGGTCCTGTTGGCATCACCGTGCCGTGATCTCTAGTTGTCACTGGAGGGTTCTCAGCCAAGTGTGGAGCGGCTAGGATGAGAATCGGCACCTCAAAATCTGAGGCCATGGTCCTCAGTCGGAGAAAGGTGAATTGCTCTCTTTGGGTCGAGAGTGAGGCTCTGCCTTAAGTGGAGGAGTTCCAAGTATCTTGGGGTTTTGTTCACAAGTGAGGGAAAAATGGAGTGTGAGATTGACAGATGGACTGGTGCAGTATCTGCAGTATTCCAGACTCTGTGCCAGTCTGTTCTAGTGAAGAGAGAGCTGAGCTGTAAGGCAAAGCTCTCTGTTTACCAGTCGCTGTACGTTCCTATCCTCACCTATGGTCATGAGCTCTGGGTAGTGACTAAAAGAATGAGATCGTGGATACAGGCAATTGAGTAGCTACTAGCTGGACTCTCCCTTAGATATAGGGTAAGAAGTTCAGTTATCTGGGAGAGACTCGGAGTAGAACTGCTGCTCCTCCACATCGAGAGTATTCAGTTGAGGTGGTTCGGGCATTTGGTAAGGATGCTCCCTGGGCATCTCCTTGGGGAGGTGCTTCGGGCATGTCCGACTGAGAGGATCATGGTGTTCCCATGTATCTCTTTTGGCCTGTTAACACCTTGGAGTCCTCCCAGAAGAGCTGGAAGAGGTGGCTGTGGAAAGAGATGTCTGGACCTCCCTGCTCAAGCTGCTGCCCCATGACCCGACTTCGGAACAAGCATAAGATGATGGATGGATAAAAACAATTATGGACCTATTGTGCCCTCTGTTGTTTTTACACACCTGAGGACCTTGCCAAGACCCTGGCCTGGTTGATCTTGTACATCGCAGCTGGGTTATCATCTAGTGTCATTCTTTTGTCAGCTGCTTGGAGGCCTCAACAGCCATGTATCTTTTGAAATCTTCCTCTTTATAATACGAGTGTTTACAAATCAAGTTACTGGAGGCGTCTGAGTGGCAAAGTTTTATTTTCATGTATTGACTTTATATTTTCTAAAGCGTCATTCACAAGAAACCTCAGTCTTGGACTGAGATGTGCTCTGGCTGCCTCAGTCCATTCAGAAGACATGCTGAGGCGGCGAGGGTAGGAAACGGCGTACGTACTCTGATGTGTCTGTGCTGTTGATTGAAATAGTAACAGGGCCGGTCTGGCTGATGCGTGAAGAAAACAAAACCTTTGGAGCTGCGGCTCAGTAATGTGATGTGACCTGATGACATTAGTTGTGATCACCTGCTCGTGGGATTAAACAACAACAAACAGATTACAGGGAGAATATTGATAGTTAAAAAAAAAATAGATAACCACAAACAGGATCTCTAAAGGGAGTTAATTCTTTATAGTAAATGATACAAGGGAAATGTTCGACACACATCACGCTCTGCTCAGTCCAGCAGAGTTCTGCTCCATGTCTCTCGGTTGGGCTCGGAGCTCACATCTGAGCAGGACGTGGCGGTTTCATCTGTGATTTATGAACGGCAGGAGGAAGCTGTGTGGCCATTTCACAGAGCGGTCTTCTTAAAAACATGCCTTAACTAATGTTTGCATTTAAAAAAAATTCTCCTGAAGCATTGGGTAGCGTCATACTAGAGTCTGTTTTAGACCTCTGTTCTGGGTCGTTCTTCAGGAAATGGTGGAAAGGCAGGTATGGTTTGTCCCTCTGACCATTTGTAAACCCTGTTGTATCGGTTCATGTGGTTCTGAAGCTGAGCAGTCATCATCTCACATTCAGCATCTCGTCCTTTCAACCTTTCTGTCCTCGGCTCAGGTCTCCACAACAGGAAGCAGCAGTCTGCTCAGCTCGGCCTCGTCTCTTCCCCTGGGGTTTGGGATGCTGGGGGGTCTGGTACCTGTATCCCTGCCGTTCCAGTTTCCCTCCATGCTAAACCTGCCTCAGCTGGGGACGGGTGGCTCCAGTCCAGCAACCAGCAGCTCTGCAGCCAGTAGCAACGCGGCATTCTCCACCCTGACACAAAGTGAGTTACACACACGGGCATACGCTTGTGAACCGTTTCAAACTCGTCTCACGAGGAAACGATGTGGAAACAATTTGATGAAAACATCTGAGCTCGGTACACGGACGCTCCTGTTCGTGTGCCGGTCAGTTTGTGTTCGGGTTCTGTTTGGTGTTGTGTGTTAGAATCATTTATTCTGTATTGTTTGTCTGAACACAAGCTAAACGTGATTAATGTGAGACGTTTCATTTTGTTGACTTCATCTCCCAAATCTTCTCTTTTCTCTACATCTGGCACTTATTCATAAAACACCCTTCATCTCTTCACATCCACTCTTTCCTCCTCGTTCTGTTGGCATTGGTTCCTCCCGCCCTCGTCGCCCTGTCCTGTCTCCTCAGATCTGTATAAGAGTCTCCAGTCAGGGTCTCAGGTTGCTCTGCCTCCTCACTTGCAGCTCGCTTTCTCAGGTAAAACCTGCCCCCCTCCTCCTTCGTCTCCCGCTCTCTTTTCTAGCGTCTGCTGTCCTCTGTATCGGGTTGTCTGGTTCTATCATCTGTTGGTGGCAGCATGTCTCCGTGGAGTTAATCCCATCACTTGTGTTGCGTTCAGCTGTTCTTTCTCCAGTGGTTTAAGCTTGTCCTTTTGTCTTCGGTCCAGATGTCGGTCAGAGCCAGGGAGGAGACAACAAGCGGAAGACTCTATGATCCAGCTGGACGTCCACACCAAGGAACGACGTGCAAACCAGTCGGGACGTTGTCTGAACACTTCACTGGAACGGGTTTAATCAGTAGTGGGCTGCACCTCACAGATCAGCTCACCACCTTACCACAGTCAAATACCTTTTTTTAAACTCCTTCGTGTCGATAGAGAAGGCAAATACCATGTTCTAATGTTTACAACAGACCTTAATCACTGTGGACGGGGAGAAGTGAGGAATGGGTTAAGGGGGGTGTGAAACCTGTCTGGCTGGTTGGACTGTGTGCCTTGTTGTACGTCTCCCCCTGCGATGCATGGTCAGTATCTTACCTGGTGCTGTTTTTAATCATTCTGTAATTATCATGGATACCTGTATGAAATGTAAACTGCAAAGTTGACTTGGAGCTTTTTTTAAATATGAGCTGTACATGTTTTCATTGTACTTGAATTCTTGGATAAATCTGTTTTCTGTATAGGACTCAAGCCTACTTTTAATTGAAACCCTTACATGAATAAAATGCAAGTTTTAAAAATTTTATATTTGTGTCACATGCACTGAAATGTGCTGAGGTGCTACTTGTTTCAAACAAAAAGTGTAACTTTTAAATAAAGTCAGGAGGTTTAACAGGTTATATCTTTTTTATACATCTAAAATCATCATCTTGTCAAGAAGCAGCCCAGATGGACCAGTTTAGCTCCTGCAACATAAAAACTGAAGATCTTGACTTTATCAGTTCAAAAGCACAACTGAAAATTCATGAGCAAATATCTTACCTGTTATAGATGGCTCTTAAAACTGCTTCAATTTGGAGAAATTGTTTAATTCTGACTGGAACGATGAGCTAAGATCCATCTGTCAAATTTTAATTAATTATACAAACTTTATTTTAAATGGACTGCACCTTTTGTCTTATCAAGATACTCAAAGTACTTTACACTACAATCTGTGTCCTCATTTACCCATTCATACAGCACCACTATTTCTGTACAAAGACTAATCAGTGCTTCATCACATTCATGCACTGATGGGACACATGGGAGGTAATGAGGGGTTCAGTGTCTTGCCCAGGGACACTTGGGCATGTGACTGCTGGTGGAATTGAACCCCCAACTCTTGCATTGGAAGATGACTGCTGTAATCACTCAGCCACAGCTGCCCAAAACAAACTCCGTTGTAGCTGATGATGTAAAAATGATAGTGGTTTGCTGTACTGGTAGTCCCTCTCTACTATTGCAGACTTGCTCTTTTGCAGTTTTTCAACCAGTCAATTTTAATGTTACGTGACTGGAACGCTATGGGAAAAAAAAAAAATACTTTGGACAGGCGCTGCCATTTTATATTTTCTTTCAAAAAGCCTATATTGTAACGCCGGTCAAAAGAACTACACTACCCAGAAGCCAACAGTGCTTCCAGCTGCTGCTTTCTGCTGAAATGGCGGATTAGTTTTGGAACGCCAAGTCAGAAGTAACGATCTGTATGAAGCTCGCAGAACTGGCAGGCAAGTCACAAATAACCCTGAAGCTCAATTATCCATGTGCACATCAACCTGGACTGGGATTCGTCGCTGCAGGGCAGGTCTGCAGAACCAGAACTGAGCTACTCTGCACAGCTGGTGAGTAAAATTTTGCAGTACAGTACATATGCATAAGTTGTTAAAATTTACACAGGTTTAAGAGGTTAGAACACGTGTGTAGAACAAGTTTATAAAACCTTAAAATCTAAAAAAAAATTCAAGACTTCAGTCATACAATTGGAAAAAATATAACAGTCCCTCGCAACTTAGCAATTAGTTTATGGCAGTTTTCCAACATAAGAGCGGACATGACACACAATTGGCTGATTGATGGATGAGCTGCATGAAATTGTATTAAAATGATTTAGCACCTGTGCAGGCCACACTGCAGGGTAAACCTGCTGCAGCTGCAAAACAAGTGGGCGTGGCCAAGAGCACTTGCAGGCGGCAGAGCTGAGTGGGAACAGGGTTTATGATGCCTTCATATATGCATATATATATATAATAAAATTACTACTTGTACTATTCCTACTTCGCGGTTTTTTACTGATTGCAGGTCTTCAAGAGTACAGACCCCCCCCACGATAAACAAACAACTACTGTAAGTCCTAAAATAAATAATTGCATGTGCAGCCCTAGTTCACTGGAAGTGACAGATGCATGTGTTGTGCACTAGGTTAGCTGCTACCATGCCATACCACTTTATCTATAGTGCTGTACAGTAGAACAATGTTAGTGCTGCCAGTTGACTGAGGTTGGGGGTGGTGGGGCTGAGGGTGAAGCTCATTTCCATAGGCAGGGTGGGGCGCCCTCCTTGGAGAACAGTAGGGAAAGTGATAGTAATTCCCACAAAGGTTGTTTATGAACCTTTACAACCAGCGAGGTACACGTTAGCTATCCTTGCAGCAAGTTCTACTTTCACTTGAACAACAGAGCAGCTCTACTTATCAAGATGTAATATTACCTGGACAACTGCATAAAGAAACACAAAACAGCATGCGCATGAATAAAATAAATCGGACTCGACCAGTGTCAGAAATCTCCCTTGGTCTCGGCTAACGGGGCCAAGATGGGGTAGAAGGCAGACAACTCGGGACCTGAAAGTCCCAGGTTCAATCCCCAGCCATTCCCACATGTCTCTGTGCAGGACACCCAATCCCTAATTGCTCCCCAAGCATTGACATAGGTGCCCACTGCTCCACCTGGGTGTATCCCAGGCGTGATGGTTTAAATGGAAAGAACCAGTTTCACCATTGTATGGGAACATACAATGACGACATAGTACTTTACTACCTACAGACCAGCAATTTACTACCTACAGACTAGCAGTTTACTACCTACAGACTAGCAGTTAGCACATAGATCCAGTGCTGGGTAGAAAAAACATTTCTCCAACCTGAAGAACTGAACCCCACTTCTAAAGATCTGGACTATCCCTTTAATGCAGAATACAAAGCTCCTGAAATCTAGTGTCCAGTAAAAAGGCAAGAGCTGTTTTGGTGCGTTTAAGTACGCCTCATAAAATCAGAAATCTATATTAAACCAGGGTCGTGTGGAAACGAACATCAAAGGAATGTAAAAACTGACATTCCTCTGGAAAAACACTGAAACTACAGCACCTTTAGTTTAAACGTACAGACACAAGGACATTTGTTTTCATACCAGAATTTTAAACAAATCACTTTAAAAAGGAACAATAGTGAAACCATAACCAGGTTTTCTAAACCAGTTAGAATTGGGGATAAATCCACAAAAATCAGACATGACAAATTTAATTGATTGCAATAACTGATGCCAAGTTTCTTAGACATCTTTGACACCGGACACAACAAAAGCAAGGCAAAAACAATAGAAAAGGAAAAGTGTTTCAGTTTAAGCAGTTTGTGAAGGACGGCCTGAACCGGCAGTACAAGAACACGGGCCGTCTCCCCCGGAGCTGCTGGATGGATTTCTCCCAAAAAGCGTTCTCGCCTCCCACGTTCCAGGAGCCTATTTGACCAGAGGTCTGGTTTTGTCGTCGTCGCCACACTGGTGGGCTTTGTACTTTTTCACCTCGGCCATGTACTTTGACCAAGCATCGCTCTTGCCTGGCTCAGCAGCCTGCAGAGAGGACAGGAGGTTACAGTGGGACGCACGAGGCGCACAGAAACACCGACATGTCATCGCTTACTTCCGTCTCCTGTTTCTGCTTCTTGGCAACCATGCCGGTCTTTAGGAACACCCCGCCTCGGCGCTTCCCCACCTGGGTTAGGGGATAGAAGACTGAAACCGTTACAGGGGTCGTTGCAGGTGGACTGCCAATGAAGGAAACTACACCAGGGCAGAGGGGCTACATTTAGTCTCCTGCTGCACCACCAGTCCCCACCAGTGATGCTCCCCATCACTGGTGGGGCGCACTCCTAAGCTTACGTCAGCTACCAGAGGTTGCATTTTATTAAAGCTCATAAAATGACTGCTAGATTACTGGTGATACTTTTTGGGTCAATATTTCACAAAGTTTAAACTGTCTGGTAAAGTATGAGCTGAACTAGTGTTATCTCATCTTTACAACTGCTGAACCCCTTACAAAGGTCGTCACAGGAGGGGCCTTCTTTTCCTCCGAGCTCTGTCCCTGCTCGGTGACTCCGTCTCCACCTGTTCCGTGCTCCTCTTTTCTCCTCTTCTCCTCCTCCATCTTCTTTTTGAACATCTCCATGAAGCTGCCGTCGTTGGCGAACGCGTTGGCCGCGGACACCGAGGCTTGGCGCGCGAGCTGCGCGGGGCTGCTGGACGGGGACGCCGGGCTGTCGCAGCTCGAGTCCCCGCTGCTCGCGTGAGACGATCTGCCGCGCGCTCTCTTCGGGTCCATCGCTCCTGAGTGTTTGCAAACCGGCACAGTCCAACAGCTAAAACGGTTTAGCGATTAGTCCGAGCAAGCAGGCTCTGGACCCAAAATATTCAAAACCAGATGCAAAACATAAGCCTTGGGATTTAAAAATCAGCGAAACGTTCACCAGCTCTGTTCTCCGGAGTTGTCTTGACAAAAGCGATCGCGGGCGCTGGTTTGGTTGCTAATGCTAGCTACCACCGAGTCAGAATTTAAGTTGTTTTTATGGAAGGAAAGGCTCACGTTCAGTCCAAGAATCCCTCGTGAGTCTGACCTAAATCTAAACATGAACAGAAGGCGCGCGGCAAAGTTCAGATATTCGCTTCATTTACAAGGAAGTTAGCAGATTTTAACGTCGCTAACTTTTGTTAGCAATCATCGCCTGTCGGCCATGTTTTACTTCCTTTGGTGACTCTGGCTCCGCCTACTGCACTGGTGTTGTATCGAAAACGGCACCCCTGCTGTGAAAAGCGCCCTCCTTCACCGGAAGCGCGTTTATTTATTTATTTTTATTAAGCTTTTATGAACATTACAAACGTGTCTGCCAGGGGTATATTAACAGGTACAAAAGTAATAGTATTAAAGTATAAAAAAAGAACAATATTGAACATATTGAACATTATTATTGATATTGTTTATCTTATTTCTTATATATTGTGTTGTTTATTAACATTTAGGAACTTGTGTGAAATCTTTAAATCTTTTTATCAGTTGCTGCTGATACACTGGAATTTCTCATCCGTGGGACAATAAAGGCCATTTCTATTCTATTTCTATTCTATTCTAATATAATTATTAAAAGGTACAAAAGATAAAAAAAGTCTAAAGATACAAACCAATCTATTTACAGGTTACATGAAGCTTTTCTAGAACAGAGTTGGTTTTCATTGCCTTTTTGTTTTCAAGTCCTTTAATAGTGCTGCTGTATCAGTAAAGTTCTGCTGAAGTGGGTTCTGCTTGACTTGGAGTTTGACCACTGTTTTCTTGTGAATGTGAAATTTTCCCAGGAGACGTAGAAGTTGGGTGAAGTAGATCAAGTCCATATCCTTATTGTCGAAGCATTATATAATAATGTTTTTCTCTGCAAGTTGAATTATTTGTCCAGTTTTCTTTCGTATGAGTTGTTGTACATCTGTCCAGAACGTCTTTGTGTGATTACATTGATAGAATAAAAGAGATTGTTTCCATGTGTAGTTCACAAAATATACAAGAGTAGTCAAAATCAAGTTTAAATCTTTACAGTGTTTTTTTAACAGGGTATACATTATGATTGATTTTATATTAAACCTCTAACTTTATTTGTTATGCAACATTTTTCCCCATTTGACCAAATTTGTTTCTAACTAATTTCTCCAAAAGTAGAGGACCAAAAAAATCTACCAGGAGGTAAAGTAATCTTCTGCAGACATGATCTTATAAGTTTGTTGGAGCATGTTTGTGCATTATGGGGCTTCTCAGCTGGTCTCTAGATGAACGATCAGGTTTTGTTCCTTTGAAGAGTTGCATCATGGAGTTTGGTAGAGCATCAGAAACGACAACACACTCTTTAAGTGTTACAGGTTGTTAAGTCTGGTCAGAAGTTCAGTGTATAAATGGTTCTGTTATCATTTAACAGCTGTTGGACCAGCATCATTCCATTATCCATCCAGTTTTTATAGTAAAGTGACTTATTCTTATACAGAATATTCCCATTGCTCCAAATGAAGGCAGAAAAGTAAAAGTCAAGCATCATTGTAGTCGTAAATAAATTTGAAAAACTTTTTGCTGCTGATCCTGAGACTGTACCTCACTGGCTCATTTGATAACGGACTGCAGTTTTACATTTTCTTCACGCAGTCTCGTTCCCCAAAACTTACTGATACAGAATCACTAATTTATCTAGTCAGCCGTTTCACAAAATCCAGATATGGGATTAATCCAGGATTTTCAGGTTATCCTGTTTTACGGTCGTAGGTTTATTCTGGGCCAGACCAAGCTAACAGCCAGGTTTAGTTAATCCTGGAGTTTATTTCAGAAACATCTACAAGGTGTAAAACATTAGGCTTTAAATAGAACTCAGCCCACCAAAAAAAAAAAAAAAAATGCCTGCAACTATTTTTTTAATAATAAAAATCAGTATTGTGACATCGAGTTGAATCATCTGCTGCTCAGGCTGTTTTTTGAGCTTCAGGGATTAAAATAATGCATCCATTTTAGTTGACTGGATTGGATGAAGGACGGCTTGGTGTTTCTGACGTGAGTCATTTGAGGACGGGTCAGATGTTTGGCCTGTTCCTGTCAGAGTGGTACCAGTTTACTGTGGATGGGATCTGTGCAGACCTCTGGGTCTGAAGATTCAGGACTGAACCTGCTGCAGAAGAAATGTCCAAGTTACTCCCGATGAAAAAAATAAAAAAAATTGTGCACATTTCATTTCCTTCCCTGGCTGCAGAATGTTACATTTTAAAGAGTTTCTACAACTTTGCAGTTTTTTTTTTATCACTGCAGATAAAAAAATAGCCTCAACTTTTAATAATTTGACATTTTTATATATGATTATGCTTTTATTTGCTCAAACAGCTGAACTTTGTGCTTAATTTAACATTAAAAAACTTGTCCCGTCTATGCTGCCGTCAGAAATATTAAAATACTTTTGACTTTTTATGATTTCAGTAACATTTAGGCTTTAAAGTCGATCAGTTTTCAAAGAAGCTGCAATAATTGACCTCGGGGTCTGGTGAAGAGCAGCGGGCAGGGACAGCCACTTCTTTGCAGCTTGGTTTAACATTTGATCCTCTAACGAGGCTTAGCTTAGTTAATAATAATAATAATTTATTCAGTTTGTACTGCACTTTACATTTTACAACCTCAAAGTGCTACAATATAAAATATGCTGAGTTTTCTTATCCTGGGTTAGATCATTCTGCTCTGGTGGACCAGAACACTTCTATAGTGGGTGCTGCATTTTAAAGTGTCCGTTTTGTTCTGATCCATTGTTAAAAGAGATAAAAAAAAAACAAGTTGATTTTAAGATCTCATTTATTTGTTGTGCAAAAGTCTACAAGAGTTTGGCTCGTCTCAGCCCTCTGACGCACCGTGCTGTAATCAGTGTGTGACACAAACGACCCAAAGTTAACCCCTCGCACCACAGCAACGACTCCACACCATAAATACAAATTAAACTAATCTCAGTAGAAAACGGTGCACAGAACAGCAAGACGCCGGCCTAAATAGATTATAGCAGGAAACGTTCACAGACAAGTTCCACAACTGCAGCTCTGACACGGGAGAGACGAACAAAAAATTAAAGTTGTGGAGAAAAGTGACAAATGCAGCGTTTGATCCGCTGCAGGCTTTACAGTGGGATCAAAATTAAAGACGGGCTGCGTTGAGACGTACGCATTTCCAGTTCAGTTTCCAGTAAACGAGGCTGAACAGTAAACAACAACAGTCTTTTACATTCATCTACTTCTAAACCTGGATTACTAGAGTTCATCAGTGTAAAGTGGTGAGTGCACGAGGTTCTGTTCACAGCCTTCAACCTTTCAGGACGGATGACGCATTTTACTGGTTGTAAAACGATTACAGGAAAATAAAAACAAAAAGGTGTCGTCATGTCCAGTACCTGTACAGCCAGTCTCCTCCATAACGAGGATTTATTTATTTGTGTTCCAAAGGCACAGATCTCTCCTTCAGAGGAACCACTTTGTGTTCTGCAAAACCCCTGAAGGCTGAAAATGCATAGTGTGCATTTTAATAATTAAAAAAATTAAAGAGAATATTAAAACTTCCCACGTCTTCATGATTGTCACGTTTTCCTCCAAATTTAAAGAAAAGTTAAGTCCAAATAAAAAGAGAAAAAATATAAATTATACTAAAATTATGTTCAGCAAATGTGACAATATTTTCTACCGTTTAAGAATAACGTCCGTTTTCTCAAACTAAAGTGTATTTTTACTGTATATATATTTCAAGAGTCAGGAGTGACTTGTAGAGGCTGAAATAAATTACAGAGTCACCTGAAAAGGTGACGGAGCCTCCGTCACACAAACAGTAGTACCAGCTCCACTGCTTCAGCAGGGGGCAGCAGCAGCACGTGAGGGGAAATACAAACTAAAAGTGTTGCAGCAGCCAGAGAAGAGCTCAGCTGAAGTCTTCTCTTCGCGGTGGGATCATCGTCCTGCCTGCGTCTCATCGTGGGAGGTGTCGAGTCAGACCTCGCCTGGCCATGGTGGACTGTCTCTGCTGGGCGAGGAAGGACATGGCCTGGTGGGAGGGACTCAGTCGCTCGCCTGACACTTTCTGGTGCAAAGCCATTCCCTGAGAAGGGTGAGAAGTCAGACGAAGCAGAGAAACAAAAGCAAGGTGCACCGGTTACAGCCTGTGTGCACCCACCATGTTGTACCACGCACTGATGATGAGCTTCTCCTCCTGGTCGTGTCTGACACGGCTCTTTTCAAAATCATGCTGCGCAAAAACAAAACAGAAAATATTCCCACATCGGTGTATCTGTAGGATTTAAAGTAGCAGAGGACGCACGCGCGTCTGTAAGGTGCGTACTTCCAGATGCTGGATTTTTCTCTCCTTTTCCGTCAGCTGGTTCTTCAGAGCCTGAATGTCAGGAGTCACCGCCGGCTGTTTGGGATCCAGGGTTTTGATCACCTGAAACACAGAACATGACTTAAATAAAAATAATCTTCTGAACAGAGACTTAAGAAAAATTGCCGCTCTTAGGCCTGTCACGATAAATAAACCAATTAAATCGCATAATGAATGAAAATTATCGACCTCATTTTCATTTATCGACCATCATTTCTTCGTGTCTCTTTCTACTGAAGACACTGGATGACAGAAAGCTCAACCCCAGTGTTCTTCACTGACCCCTCCCTTTCTCTGTAAAATATGTTTTAACAATCCTAAAATCACGTTTTTGGATCATTAAAGCAGCTAAGCTACGAGCTAAGCTAACAGGTTGAACTCAGGAATAAGACCTCCGTCTTGTGTAAAGTTTTTCTCTGCAAAAAGAAGCCGAGAACTTGTTTACTGATTTGTTATTAAAAGCTTGGTGTGAAAAATGCTATGCTAAAGAGCTCAAAACACACAGTGTCCAAAGAGAGACAGCCCATGTCACATTGAGGGACCTCCCTCCCATTTTTCTTAAAGACTCACGCTGCTCGCTCCCTTTCTATCCATCCTTTGGTTCAAACTGTCATACTGCCATCTGGTGGTCGAAAAAGGTACTACATGCAAAATAAACCACCGATTAACCAATATTTCTTCTTAAATTTGACAGCAATTACTAATTGTTGTCAATAATAACTACTAATTACTAATTATTGTCAAATTTCAAATTATATTGTTTATCGCAATAATTTCTGACAATTAATCACCCAGCAAAATTTGTTATCGTGACAGGACTAGCTGCTCTCAGTTTAGAAACAAATTACTACAGATGCCAGATTCATGGTTTTCCTGCACTTCAGAGATAAGAAGCATGTTATGAACTTATATTATTATTAATTATTGTTGTTGTTGTTGTTGTTGTTGTTGTTGTTGTCCACTGTTGTCATCACTCTGTTAAAATCAGGTCTCTCTTGTAAATGAGTCCCAGAGGCTCAATGGGATAAACGTGTATAAATAAAAGGTTGAATTAACGGGAAAATAAAAATCAGGAGCGTCACGTCTCATAAATCACAGTTCAATACTTACCTCCACTTTAACGTCACAGGGAAAATAAAGTAGCAAATGTTAGGGATGGACTTGAAGCCATTTAGGTCCAACCTTGTAAATCAGGGACACCATGGACCAGTTTTATGCAGAGCACATCTGCACGGACCAGCAGCAGCTGGAGTACAGTGTGAGGGCACACGCACAATTAATGCATCGTATAGAATTACATCTAAATTTTAAATACAATTTTATATTTTGTAATTTCATTTATATTATTTTGTGAGTATGTAATATATAATACAACTCCTTGGCAATGTGGTTAGCGATTGCTGCTCAGTGCTGACTCGTTTGATGAAGTGGTGACCTTCAACAATTATTTCTGACCTTCATGCTCGTGTTCTTTTTCCTTTCAGAAAAACTCCACAGGCTCGTCTTTTAATGAAGGTGCTTATTCTTCATGGGGTGAAGCAGTTTTCATTAGGTAGCTGGTCGCCTTTTCCTTTTCAAAGTAGCTCCAGTGGCGTTTGTTGTTAGCTCATGTAAAATTAAACCGAGTCAAGCTCTAAAGTTACATGGATGGAAGTGATGAAATAAAATAGCATACGGACTAACACAAATAGAAAAAAAGTATTCAAAATAAAAGTATTTTCTTTATGTGGCTCAGTACTGGTCCCAGTGCATGGGGACCCGTTGTAAATGATGCCACACAAAACATCATGAGACATCCGTGTTCAGGACGAGTCTCCAACACACCAAGTTTTAGCTCAGTTTAATAGAAATAGGCAATTTTAGTGTTTGCTACAAGGTTTAGGTGTGGCAGCCATCTTGAATGGTGTTGACTCTAAAAGTAAATTTGTTGAAAACGAACACAAAGTTTCATAAATAAAATCATCCTGTGGTTTAGATATTTTGCAACAGAGAAAGACATATGGATAAAACATCTGATGTGAAAATACCAGTGGTGGGCACAGCTAACCAACAAGTTGACTTTGACAACCCATATTCCACTAGCTAAAAAATTAGCTTAACCAGCGCTAAATTGCTAAATGCAAAGATGACGGTCACTCAGTCTGCATCACATCTTTGTTCTTCCAGTTGAAGCTGCGTCGACCAATCACGTCTCGCCACATGGACACGTAGTCAGCCAATAGCGTGCCTCACTGACGACACGTGAGACACGCCCACAACAGACAGGAACAAACTTGTGAATTTTATTAGCGTACTTAGAGTTGGCGAAACTTAATTTAGCCGAAGCCAGTTCTGCCAAGTTTCCAAAGTTAGTGAAAAGACTAAAAAGTTAGTTTCTCTATAAGCAGTTGGCAGAACTGCGTCCACCACTGGAAAATAAAACAAACCCTGAACTGCTCAGAGTGCTTCATGCAGGTCCGGAGTCTGGTTAGTGAAGAGGGTTTTAAAACAGGCGGAATATTCCTTTAACTATGAATGAGAGGTTTGGAGAGGTGGACTGACCGTTCTGGCCTTCTCCACGTAGCGTTTGTATCGCTCCTCCATCTGCTTCATGTCCTCATCTTTCTTGCGAAGGACCTCCTGGAGCTCATCGATCTTCTTGGCCACTGAACAAAATAAAATAAAATAAAAATTGTAAATGGACTGTACTTATACAGCATCTTTTTATCTTATCAAGATACTCAAAGCTCTTTACAACACAATCTGTGCTTCATTTACTCGTTCATACAGCTCTCTGCTACAAACAATAATCAGAGCGTCATCACATTCATACACAGATGGACACATCAGAGGCAACCAGGGGCTCAGTGTGTTGCCCAGGGACACTTCAGCATGTGACTGCTGGTGGAATTGAACTCTCAACTTTCCCATTGGAGGACGACTGCTCTAACCACTCAGCCACAGCTGCCCAAAGAGAATAAATCCACATCCTAACAAGTGCACTATAGAGTTTGAGCTTTCATTTGAAACGTCTCACTGTTGCCGTCCACTTTGGGCTCCAGGTCATCGATGACCTCCTTTTTCTTCTGGAGGTCCGAGTGAGCTTCATGGAGCTTCTCCCTGCAACGAGCAAACATGCAAATGCTGTCAAGTAGCTTTAAACACCCCCAACAGATAAAAGAGCAACAATCAAGTACTTACAGGTGCTCCTCAAGCTTCTTCTTTAATAAGGACGACTTCAGAAAAGAGGGGGAAAAAGAAAAAAGTCATTAAAATGTATATTTGCTGAACAGCATCAGAACAGATGTTGGGAGCAGATGTTGAGTCAAATCATGGGCCAGGTGGACAGAGGGCGGTCCGTACTTACAATGGCCTGATTTTGGCAGAGTTGATGGATGGGGGGGGGGCACAGAGAGACAAACAGAGGGGGGCCGGGGTTAGAGTGGATCACCACAGCAAACACAAGTCCCACACAGTATGTAGCAGGAGGAGGACATGCTCCAGTCCTCTCTGCAGGTAATCATCTCAACACACAACTCCTGCAGATGTTCAACAGCTGGCTACAACCACCTCATTTACAAAGCAGGGACTTGTTACTTTTACAACACTATACAGTTACTATTTAAATAAACTAAACCTCTTGCTCATTGTCTCGTAACATTTTATCAACTTGACTGTAGAAACATTTGCAGAGAAGAATCTGAAGTGAAACGTCGTCGTTCTCACATCTTCATTCTTGCTCCCCTGCTCTTGGAGCGCCTTCTGGAGCTCCTCCACCTGAGAACGCAGCTCGGAGATCTGCTGCTGGTTCAACCTTCAACACACACACGGTGGGAGGGGGTCAGATCAAAAGCCATACGAGAGGAAATTTAAACACAAAACAGGATAAATAGGTTAAAAACAAAGTGATGAGCCAGTGCTAGCTTGATGTTTTAACCGTTTCAGACGTTGGACAGGAACACGATAAGAACACGGTCCCTTTAGCTGCAGAACATTTGGGCGTGTAAAGGCACGGCTCAAAACTTAGAAAACTCATGTTAAACAAAATCTTAATTTTGGACCTCCACTCCAGGATTTAAATTAAGTTTACTTAGTGAGTGAGCCAGTCTCTATAAGAACCATGGGTCAAACTCGAGGCCTGTGGCCAAATCTGCCCCCCCCCAAGATATTTTAAATGTAAAGTACTTTTATCCTCTCTAAATATTTATTTTAGTTCATACTTCTCATGGCCTTTGAACCCAAAAAATAAAAAGGTTAGGTTTTTCAGTAAACCTTGATTTTGACGTAGAGGGAGCAACCGACCAACTTCTTGTTAACGAACCTGCTGCCAGGAGCTGTAACTAAAGGACTCTGACTAACGAGGACTAGGTCTGTAAATCTGGCCCCCTTTTGTAACAGAGTGTGACACCCCCCTGCAGAGAAGATTACTTTCTCAAGCCAGAGAAAAAAAGTTAAAAAATAATTTGTTTTCTTTAGCTTCTCTCTTCAGAGGTGACAGAACTGTAGAATGAGTTACCACCACACGTCAGGCAGACTCCCCCTCGCTTACCGTTTTCAAGTCTAGTTTTAAAACTCACTTTTATTCCCAGGCTTTTGACACTGTACGAGTTGATTTTTACCTTGTCCCTTTCCTATAATGTTAGTCATTTAGTTCTTTATCTTTACCTATTTGGATCTATGCATTTGATCCTTTTGCTCGTTTGTTTTGCTGTACAACACTTTGGCTGGCCTGCTGCTGTTTCTAAGTGCTTTATAAATAAAGTGGTATGTAGAAACAAAAATATCTAACAAACTGAGCTCAGGTGTGCTGTGGTCAAATTTCAAGATGGAAACGAATGACAAGGTGAAAGTAATTTGTTTCTATTAAACAATTTTACAGGGCAGCACGGTGGCGCAACTGGTAGAGCTGCTGCCTCTCAGCGAGCAGGTCCCTGGTTCAAACCCCGGTCCAGGGGCCTTTCTGGGTGGAGTTTGCATGTTCTCTCCGTGCATGCGTGGGTTTTCTCCGGGTACTCCAGTTTCCTCCCACAGACCAAAAACATGCATGTTGGGCTGATTGGTAACTCTAAATTGTCCCTAGGTGTGAGTGAGAGAGTGAATGGTTGTTTGTCTCGTTTGTCTCCGTCTCAGTGATGGACTGGAGACCCGTCCAGGGTGTACCCCGACGACCCCCGTGACCCAAAATGGAATAAGCGGGTAAAGATAATGGATGGATGAAAACAATTTTACAAATAAAAATACTGAAGACGAGGAGAAGTATGAGAGAATGCATCGTTTCTGCAATTCAACCCAATCCCAACACAAGCGGTTCAATAAAACCTCAGGAAACTGAGTCAGCTTGTGAAGAACTCCTTTCAGTTGTTGTGCAACATTTTTTCCATTGACCCTTTATTTATCCAGGTAGTCTCACTGAGCCACGAGAACTCATTTTCAAGAGAGACCTGTTTAGGGAACAGATGGTGGGGGTTAGGGGCTTTGCTCAGGGGCCCGGGGTGGGGCGAATGAAGGTGGAGGCAGGTGTGGGTGTTTCACCTTTTCCACCCACATTTTGATGTTGACGGTACCGGGAGGTGAACCTGCGACTTACCGATCACAAGCCCATCTTCTAACCTCTGCGCCACCACTCCCCCACAACAGAACAGTGTGTAGATGATTGTAAAACATCTCATGGGTTTTTGTACATCTGCTGGAAGGTTTTATCGTTGCCGCGAGCGTGCCACCTGGCTCTGCTCTACTGAGCATGCTCACTCCACTCCTCTCCGCCCGCTACTGTGGATGCTTCCCACACCCTCTGCCTGGTGTTGCAATGGATACACACACACACACTCACACACTCCACCCACATGTCCACATGCCCACAGGCATGTAAACACACACAGTCAAGGGACAATCTGGCTTTCTGCTGTCGGTCCTCCAGCCCAGCCCACACAGCTCTGCTGAACACAGAGTCCAGAGGGTGAGTTGACATTTAGGCAGATCTCACTCCTTCCTTCAGCCAAAACCACCAGCTTAGTGTCCAGGAACACACAATATGGTGGCCCCAGAGAGGAACGCTTATCCAACACAGCTGAGTGCACACACCTACCTGTTCTGAGCTTCAAGAGTATTCTTGCTGCGCTGAGCCTCTTCCAGCTCAGTTTGGACCTCGACAAGTTTCTGTCTGTAGGTCTCCTCCTGAGCACACAACATCTTGTTTTCACTTTGCAGCCGCACCACCGTCTCCCTGACAAAAAAATGACAATGACAAGCAAACAGGTGAAGAAGAACAAAAAAGGGAGGAGATGGGGGCGTTAAGAGCCCGTTACGACGACCACATTTTCCATCAGACAACGCCCAGTGTGCCATGTGTCACCAGCTCGCTGACCAGCTGCACATTCAGCTGCAAAAATAAACGTGCCAGCGTGCCTGCAGGAGGTCAGCGACAGCCACACCAAGAAGATCTGCAGTGTACACGTTGCTCTACACATCCCGGCTCGCACACACGGCTGACGTACCGGAGCTCAGTCGGCATAATCTCTGCAGCGAGGTTTCCCACTGCCACTCCACTGTCCCCCAAATCTACGGAGAAACAAGACAAGACTCGTTTTATACGTTTCTCTTCTTCCACGTCGAGCCAGGTCGGTGGTTCCCACCCGGGGGGAGCAGGAGTTTCAAAGGCCGTCAATGTGTTTTGCACAAACTGCAATTATTTAAAAATTCTAGGTCAACATTTAACTACGTCATATACTGCAGTTTAATTTTTCACAGAGTATTTCTATTTATCAAAATAAATTAAACAGTTGGATGCAACTTGAACTGAGGGACTTGGATTAACATTTCTTCTGAACTCCACTCCAGTTTAAATGGAAAAAGCTCTACAGAATAAAAGTTTAGTTGCTTCGTTTGAAAACTTAGGATTCCTTTCAGACATCGAACAACAAGGACACGAACAAATTAAATGCAAAATCCCGAATGAGATTTTAAGAATACAAGTCAAGTCTGAGGCAGCGCAGAGACTGATCCTGTCGAGTGTGCAGTGGTGGAGCCAGGGGGTGGCCAACGGTGGTCTTGGCCACCATAGATTACCTTTTAGCCACCCCAGTCATTTGAGGAAACTACTTTTAGACAATTAAAAAAATAAATGTCAGCACGTGGCTTATTTTGCAAGTTATAATGCTCATTAATTACATTTATGATGGCAGCCATCTTGGATTTTGGTGCGACAACCTAATTGTCAAAAGTACCATATTTAATTTTAAAGATATGCTCAGAACATGCACGGACCGACAGACGGCATTTCAAATTCCACTCTTCACTCCCCGATGGGAGAAAATTCGACAAGTATAAAAATAGAAGGAAAGAAACTTTTAGCACTCTTGAGCGTGCAGCACCACGTGTGTGTGTATGTGTGTGTGTGAAGAAAATTAATCCAAGTTTTTACATTCACATGTACTAAAAGAATTGAGCAATACATGTTACATTTCCATCATTGGACCTACTGTGAACAGACTGTAGTGATCATAACTTTTAGTCACTCAGCTGAAATAACTGTTTTTCATGAGTCAAAGAGCAAAGGGGGCCACAATAATTTATAAAGTGGTAGTAAAGTGAAGGAAAAAAAAAATCATGCAGCAATGAAAACTGCATTCAGCCCACTGTTCAAACATGATGAGATGCTCTGCATCATCTATGTGCCCCACAGCACCTGTGGTGAAATCAAATTACAGAAGAAAAGCCCTGCATCGTTTATGAGGGTACAGAGTTAAAGCTGCTTTGAGTCAAAACTCAACGATATCTGCAATCACGTGAAATATTTTGCAACATGCGTTAGCTCTCAGTGCATGTCGAGTACAACTCTCAGGTACAAAAAGGTATCAAATCTTAACGATGTTAAAAAAAAAATAATAATTGGGCAGCGCAGTGGCACAGTTGGTAGAATTGCCGTCTCCCAGCGAGCAGGTTACCCCGGTTCAAATCCCGGCCGGGGTCTTTCTGGGTGAAGTTTACATGTTCTCTCCGTGCATGCGTGGGTTTTCTCCAGGTGCTCCGGTTTCCTCCCACAGACCAAAAACATGCATGTTAGGGACAATTTAGAGTTACCAATCATCCTAGGTGTGAGTGAGAGAGTGAATGTTTGTCTCGTTTGTCTCCATGTGTCCCTGTGATGGACTGGAGACCTGTCCAGGGTGTAAGAAGACAGAAGGCTTAATGTCCATAGACTGTTTGCCTTCCCGTGGGCTCATTAGCTGTAGGAGGGGCCATATAAGTATACAAGTTGGGTGCATGGTGCCATGGGTGGCAGCCGAAGGAGCAGGCGGGGTGGGGGGGCCTTGGCGTTCTGACCATGACTTACCAAAGCACCTGGAGTATATTACAGACAAGTACACTGTTCTTTCGTGAGCACGTATGTGCTTAGAGCACACAGGCAGGGTAAGTGTGAGTGACTTTGTTGTTACAAGAATACATGAGCAAAGAAAATATAAAAAAATGGGAACCACTGATCTAGACCGCACCAATTGTTGAAACTCAATGTTAAACGTTGGTTATTCACCTTTTGGCCTTTGTTAAATATTTTTGACGCCAACATGCGACTTAACATGAATCAGCCTGCGTTACAGCAGAATGAAAGGGTTCAAGATAAAACGACAAGTTCATCGTTGCTCCGACCACGTTTCTCACCTGTTCCGTTCAGACAGCCCTGCTGGACCTGTGCACACCTCAGCTCTTCGTTAGCCTCCCGAAGCGTGTCTCTTTCCGACATCAAACGCTGCGGAACAAACCACGATCACCACAAGCTCTCCAGAAAATCTCTCATTCACTTTGGATCAACACGTCGTTCAGAACAGACTACTCTGGAAATTAGTTTAGTTTATAAGAACAAAGGAAAATTAACAACGTACGAGTCTTATTCCTTAGTCTCATAAGTAATCCAGGACAAACCGTCAGATTTCAGAAAGTGGTGGAATTGACAGAATGTGCGTGTCTGCTAAATAAATAGTGCAGAATCTGCCTGACAACAATTCCTCCTATAGAGCAGAGCTGATCCACACAACAGTTAGAAAAATTAAAATCCATCTCCACAACTAGATTAGGTAAATGACGAGACTTATTTGGTGAAAAACAGCATCACGGGTCACCGGTTTCAGAAACTTAATAAACATCTAAAGATGCAGTAACTCACTTCTTTCTCCTTCAGCAGTGCATCATACTTGTCATGAAGGTTTCTGTACTCAAACTGCCACCTCTCAGCCTTCATAGCCTCCGCTGAGTGCTTGGAGTGAAGCTCCTGAGCCTGTGGGGGGAGGGGGGGTCTGTAAGAGCACTTAAAAAAAAAAAGTCTTTCCAACACATGCAGTGGTCAGACGGTTTGACGTCACTCGGCCGGCAGCAGGTGAACGAGCCCACAGCTTGCCTGTCTCTTGTAGGTGTCCAGCTGATTGCGGACGGCGTTCGCCCTCCGGAGCTCCTCCTCCAGCTCGCAGGTGCGCTGCATGTACACGGTGTTGCGCTCCTCCAGGAGGCGCACCTGTCTGCGCAGGTCTCCCAGATCTTCCAGCTTCCTCTTGTAGGTGTCCACCAGCGCTTCCAGTTGGTTCACCCGGTCAGAGGAGTGCCTGAGGGTGGGGGAGTGTTGGAGGTGTTGAGCAGCAGCACAGGAATATGATGTTTAGCTAAACACACATCCGTGTGAAGATGTACTTAATTAACGAGATCCAAATAATTCTGACGTAAATAAGTGTCAAGGCATGAAATTCATATTAACACAGGTGTCAGGAAGAGGTGTGGAGACATCTGTGTGGGCAAAGAGGACAGTTTGTGATTTATAATGTTCCTCAAAGATCCCTGAACTGCAGGCCATTATTCTCAGCCTACATCCTTCACAGAAATAAAACTTTGTGAAACGCCTGATAAATTATGAATGAAGGGCACGAAGAAGCTGTAAAGCACAAACCCTCACTGTTCATGTGACTCAGCAGCAAGCGTTACTTTCTGCAGCTTCACAGAGAACAAACTTATGAGTTTGAAAAGTGTCGGCCCATATTTAATCACCTCGATCAGCTTGTTGAGTTCAGTGACTAATCCACCACGAAGGAGAGAGTTCGTGTTTTAAAGCCCGTTACCTGAGAACGTCCATCTCGTCTTTCAGAGCCTGAGCTTCCTGCGCCAGGCTCGTCAGCTCCTCGTTGCGGTGCTGCAGGTCGGCCACCTCGCGCTGCAGGAGTTCTGCCTGCACACGCACGTCGTCTCTGCTGTTCTCAAGTCTGAGACAAGTTTATGAGGAAAAAAAAAAAACAATGGCTAAAAACTTTCTGAATCTCATGTTCATTACCAAATTTAATTATTGTACTGCGCAAGTTTGCAACTGTTACAATCAAAAGAGACATTTCTGCTGTTTTGTTCACCAAAATGTGTGTCGCAAAACCTGCTACAGCTACGATCAACTGGTGGCCCATGGGCCTCTTTAAGATTGTTGGAGGGGACTTTACCGGCCAGTAGAGGTGACAAATGTTAAAATTCATGAGATTACTTTTATAATTGTGTTTTTTACATTGTAAAACGGAAGATATGATTTTTGTAAAGAAGGAAACATATATTGTTTTTACCAATAAACTATGCAGACTTATGGGATTCTTTTAATTGTAGAAAAATCAGCATCCTACTTGTGTTTTAATCCTTGGATAACCGTATTTTTCACTGTATAAGTCACAGTTTTTTGCATAAATTGGCATTTCTGCAACTTATACAGCAAAGCGATGTCTTTAGATTTTTTTCTTCATATTTATAAACCAATTTTTGGCTGAGATCTAATGATCTCATTCATTCTGACATGGAAAATATTGAACACTACCATTTTAAGCCACTAGAGGGCCCTCAACTAATATGGCAAGCCAAGTGTCTCATTAAAAAGGTAAAAGTAGCTATTAATGAGATACTTGGCTTGCCATACAAATCCACTTTCGTCTCGCTCCGGAACGTCTGGAGCAAACATCAAATCAGCTGCATTTCGCCGTGCAGACCAGAAGAAATGCAGCTGATTTGACCATTAAAGTGCATTTAGTAAGGAAAAGTTCAACTGAGACACACCTTTACTATAGTGATGAGCAAATAATTGTTTTTAGGTGGTTATATTATTAAATTTCAAAGAAATGCACAGCGAGTCCTCCCTCTGCACACTCCTGCTTCCACGTATCAGCCTGTGAAATTCAGCTGATTTGACCGTCAAAGTGCATTTATCAATCCAAAGTTAAACTGAGACACACCTTTGATATAATTTTGAGCAAACAATTGTTTTTAAGTGTTAATCTTGTTAAAGTCCTCCTGTGCACGCTCCCGCGGCCGCCATTTGGCAGCCAATCAATTTTTGGCGCAACACCGGTCCAAGTTTCCGGGTCGTCAGCGGCGACGCATAATAGATGCAACTTATAAGGCAAAGAGACATATTTGTTTTTTTTCCACTTTATTATATTTGGACTGACGTTTACGGCGGCAAGTACGGTAGTTCTAATATTCACATATGTACAAAAGAAATAACAGGACACTTAAAACGAGCCCTTTTAAGAGCCGCAGGTTGCAGACTCCTGTTCTGGTAGAGGATTTTTCTCTAGCTTGGGTTTGACTGAGACCTTCAGCATAATAACCTTTAGTTATTGTCTGTACAGAAGTTCAACACTCGCCTGTAATTCTCCTCCTGAAGCTGCTCCATCTGACTCTGCAGCAGTAACAGCTTCTTGCCAGTGATGGCAGTGGTGGAGGCTTCCAGAGAGTCGCAGCGACTCAGCCTCTCTTTCAGGGAACGGACCTCCGTCTGCAGCAATAACTTCTCCTCCACACCCAGAGACAGCTGTCGGAGAGAAACGACAAACACACCAGAGAGGGGTAAAGACTGCATGTAAACATGTGACAATGTTCTGGAGCAGACTAAAGGAATCCTACTGCTGTAGAAAGAGGAAAAGGACGTCAAGCATATAGATAAAAGAACGTTAGATACATCGGAGGCTAAATCAGAGACAACGCGCAGTTAAAACTCACCACCTTTAGTGCAGAGGGGACTTTAAACACAAGCTTTATTGTCACTTCACATGCGCCGTCAGTCAGCTGACCTGTAACGTTCTCGGGCAGAAGTTTCTCAGTGGCATAATTTGTCCCCTTCAGGTCTAAACCAGCCTCTTAATATAAATAGATAAAGTGTGTGAACTGAAAGGAATGCAGCTTTTTGTGCAAACTGGTTTTGCTAATGATTGGCTGTAAAGAGAAGTTTTAATTTTCAGCAGGACAGAAAAAGATTGTGGCGTTTATAGCCGAAGTTACTTTTGCTTAAGTTTCCATTTTAATCATAAAAATCAGACAAAAAAAAAAAAAAGAAGCAGAAAGTATACTTTCTTTCAGGACACATTTCCAGCTCGAGCACAGAAAACCCTCCCATACAGAACTTTAAGGACAGATTGGACGCTTTAGCACCGAACCAGTAACAGCAAATAGCTCCTAAAACAACACTAGTGACTAATCCTCAACGCGTGGGCCGAGTAAGTAAACAAACAGGTGGGCCGAGAGCAGCACAAATTATTGTTGGCTACTGATCTATCCCAAGGCAATGTGTCAGTTTTATCTCCATGTTATGCAACTATTGACTAGAAAGTATGTTTGAGGAGAAATAAAGAAATAAATGAGTCTCTTCACGGTCGCTGAAGCTCAGGAACAACAAAAGTCCTGCAGGCTGATCAATAAGGGCAAAAGTTGGAGCTCAACAGATTCAACAGCACGCTGCAGTTTCAGCAACACTTTAAAAAGGTGTTGAAGTCAGTAAAATAACTACTGAATAAATATTTCTAAATGGGTTTAAAACTCTTAACTTACAAAGATTAAGTTAGTCTAAAAGGACAGGTTGGATGATTTACTACCACACCCAGTGTCCCAGTATAACTCATGGCACAGCACAGAGAACAAACAAATCAATCCCTTTAATTTGAGGCACACAGTAACTCTCGGAGGCAGAGAAACGAGCAGCGTTTGTCGGTGAAGAGGCTCTAAAGTCATTAGACAACAAGTAGGATCTGTCAACTGGTAAATTCACTAAAAGTAACATTCTTCTGCCTTTTCCATTGTATTTGACCAGTAAACAGCCTCCTGCTGGCCATGTGTCAAAATAAAGTTTGATAAACTATGAAAAAAAAGTGTATTGTTAAAAAAAAGTTGCACAAAAACGAGTTTTAATGAATTTGACCTAAATTTGATGCATAATAAAGCAATATAGAACTGATTTAATATTTTATTTTGCATTTTTCATCATCAGGTGATGAACTCTCACACTCAGCTGCTCAGTTAGGTGTGAGGACTTCTGAGACGTTTGGATTTTTCTGTTTTTCTCTCCCTCTCTCTCTCTCTCTCTCTCTCTCTTTCGGCTGCTCCCTTCTTCAGGGGTTGCCACAGCGAACTAAGTCGCACACAGATTTGGCAGTTATTTTGATGCCGAATGCCCACATGACGCATACATCTGTCACACAGTCACGTATGATTGTGCAGCTACCCATCCAGGCGGTCACATTGTAAAGTTTGCCGATGATACAGCGGTGGTGGGATGCATCACAAACAATGATGAGTCCAGCTACAGGCAAGAGGTGGAACACCTGGAGAGCTGGTGCAAAGATCAATGTGAAGAAGATGGTCATGGATTTCAGACAGAACAAACACACCCACCCCCTCCTCGTAGGAGGATTTGCGGTGGAAATGGTCTCCAGCTACAAGTACTTGGGTGTAGACCTGAACAACAACCTCAGCTGGAGCAACAACACCACCAGCCTGAT